GAGAGCGGGAGCCGGTGGCTGGCGGAGAGAGGGATGGCGTTGCGCAGCCACATGACGGAGGGCTGGGGGTTCCCTCGCACCTCACAGGTGAACTTGGCGCTCTGGCCCCAGGGAATGATCTGCTGGGACAGCTTCATGGTGACCTCTGGGGGCTCTGCGTGGGGAAAAAAACCACGGCTGCTGAGTGTCAGTCGGCAGGGAGCATGGCACAGCCATGGCCTTGCACTTTTCTCTCTGGCACTGTGGTGGATCCTTACCCCACCCTCAAGGCCCACTCCCTTTCTGGTGGCCCACAGGGGGCTGCCTCATTGCTTGTCCCCTTCAGCATCCATATGAACCACAACAAGAAGTGGCCTCTCTCAGGTGACAGCAGCCACCTACAAGTCCCATTTTTCTGAGCTAAAATGCTGCTCTGCAAAGATTGTTCTTATACCAAAACAACGTACTGGCACCTGGGCAAAATGCAATCCAATAAAACATACGCTCTGATGTCTTCCCTATGCCAATGACAAATATGTTTAAGAAGCAGCCAGTCCTCCACTAAAAAAGCATTAGCATAAACACAGTGCCAGAAATTACAAGAGAAGAGCTTCTGTAGAGGAAGGGAGGATCCATCATCTCCAGCCCACGGCGGGAGCTGAGAAGGAGGAACTACCACCCTCAAGGAAGAATTTTTTCCATCTCCTAGAAACTGGAACCACAAGCGAGAGTTTGCATTCAATTGTGGTTTGTCCAGGCAAAGGAAGAGTACAGCTGCACTACTATTTTCCCCTGAAAGCAGTGGAGAAAGTCCAAGCTCTTATCGAAACAAGGGCTACAGAAGCACTCACCAAACACCTGCACATTGTAGAAGATGAATGCGGCTCCGGCCTCCCCGACTCCATTATCAGCCGTGCAGCTGTAGGTGCCCGAGTCCTCCTCACTCGTGGGATCAATCAGGAGGTTGCTGAGCAGGAAGCGCGTCTTGTTGTACGCAGAGACGCTGGAGCCATCTTTGGCCCAGGTGACCCGTGGCGGGGGGATCCCGCTGGCCACGCACTCCAGGATGAGGCTTTGGCCCTTGGTGACAATGATGGTCTGAGCCTCAGGGGGGTAGATTATCCGTGCTGCCTCCGCTGTGGAGCCTGGTGAGGAGAGGAGGAGGAAGGAGGTGGGGGGGGAAGGAAGGTGGCCGGTGGGCCATCACGTTGTGCAGAGTGCAGGTAGGGGTGATGGTAGGGCTGGCACGCTGCTCCTCGGCACCAGGGCAGATAAACAGCAACGCAGGCCAAGAGGGACACGTTCCCTAAGGGTTGTGTGCACACAGTGAACGGTCTTGCTGAAGGGCTAAGGGCCTGTGCTCATCCAGCACAAGGAACAAATCCTGAGGAGCTACAGGAACCCCAGGGTTGCATACACATACCCCAGGAGCAGACCTCGGGGCCTTCTGCTGCTGGAAAGGAGGTTTCCCAGTAACTGATAATGTCACTTCACACAGAAAACAGTGCGATAGCACTGGTACGTGCTTCCAGGGGTGGAAGTGCTACGGAGAAGAGGAGCAGTGAATGGAAAACAGCTTACGTCTCACACGGAGCCTCTCACTGGAGACTGAGGTTTTCACCTCCTGCGTCACGGGGTTGTAGGCAGCACATTTGTAAGTCCCCTCATCCTCTTGGCTGGCATTGACGATCTGAAGGTTCCCGGATGGCATGATAAGGTAATGGTCTGTAGAGAGAGAAGAGATGGCACTTGGTCAACAAGATATGCTCCCTGCTCAGCCTCCTGGAAGACATGCAGTGCCCTGAAGATGGACAAGTGGTAAGGGAAGAAACAACACAGTAAGACTGACAGCACTGAAATGACCCTTTCTGGTTGAAGTATCAAGAGGGGCAATGACGCAATGATGGGAGGAACAAAGCTTTGGGTGAAGCTAGCTTGCCACAGGCACATGTGGCAGGTGAAGCTGCAAAATTCAGATCAAATTTTTAAAAATTTCCCCAGATTCAAAGTCACCTTTATCTATGCCAGGCTAGAAGAAGGCTTCCACAACTCACAGAGACACCCAGTGAAGCGTGATATACATCACTCAATTCCATTCCTTTTCACCTTACTGCAAGCTGGTGTTACACATGGCTTCCCAGTCCCAGACACCAAGGACATCAGGGAGACCTGGCAGAGACCCTCAACTAACCTCAGGCTGGTAGCGAAGGGTCACTGAGGAAGCAGCAGGCAGAAAAAGCCACCACTGGTAGGGAAGGGTTAAAACTGAGGGTCCTGGGAGGGGACCCAGTGGGACAGACCCCTGTAGCACTCACCTCGTGAGGCCTCGAGCCACTCCTGCTTCACGCTGTAGCGGACCTGAGCCTTGGGGTGACTTTCAGGCAGGTCACAGGCGATGACGGCTGTGTTCCCTTCATCCACCTCAATCACATGCTGGCCATCGAACTTGAAATCTTTGAGATCTGCACAGAAAAAGAACAACAGGGCATCTCAGTGGCTGGTTCAGCATCTCAGTGTCAGCTCATCCTCTCTAGGGCTGTTTTGTTGCAGTGCCGGCAGAGGACTAGTCTGTCCCCAGCAGCTAGGGAGAAACTGGCCTGGATTCAAGAGCTTTATTTTTATTTTTTTTCCCCTCCTCCTTCCTACAAAATGGGTAACGTAGAAAACAGCTTCTGGAGAAACCGCCTGCTTCGTGGCCGAGAAACTGGGTGTGAAAAATCCTGGCCTGAGAGTAAAAAATGAGCCAACTCACTGCGGTGCTGAAGGGCGGCCAAAAATGGTCTTTCTGCAGCCGGCTAGTTCAAACACGGCTGCAGTCCTGCTACCGAGAAGCTAACTTTATAGTCATAACTCAGGGAGCCCAGCCTACTTCGAGGGTGTACAGACACCAAGGGGCACAGTGGGAGAAGTGTGTGAATGCTGGATGCTCCCAGAGACGCTCCAAGCTCCTCCAGCACCTGAGCAATCGGCATCTTTGCTCCAGGCCCTCTGCCTCCCATCGGACAGCCCACGGCCAAAGGCTGGTCAGTTGCGACGCTTTGCGTGTGCCCCAGCAGTGTCCACGTTCCTGTTCAAAGGACAGGGACTTGCAAGGAAAAGCAGCAACTCCTCTCCACGGCACAGCTGAGCCCTTCCTAGAGCAGCCGTGAAAAAAAAAAGTTTGTCTTGGTCAGCGCCTGCTGGGAGGGAGGAGGTTTAGTGCCAGGAAAAAAACATTCTGTGTGTGCATTTTTACAGTGCTGTGTACCAGCCCAGGCGACCACTAGTGACAAGCGCACGTCTCGCAGTCGGTCACAAGTCACGTTGCATCAAGGCTCAAGCCGGCCCATCTCACCCAGGACCCAGCACTAACACACATCTCCTGAGCGACACGCCGCTAAATCCGGACAAGACCACGCTTGCTTTTCAAAACCCCATTCGACGGCAGCACGTCGCATCCCTCGGCACGGCATGGCACAGCCACAGGCTGTCAACAGCTCCATCGCCCCTCGAAACCCATCCCAGGACGCAGCGCCCTCGACCTCAGGCAGTTTGGAGAGCCTGGGGCGGGGAGCAGGCGG